GGTTTTTGGAAAGCCATTGAAATAAGCTACAAGAATATGTAATAAAAAGTTGGGGGTCCAATTTAAAAAATTCAATTTGACCTTTCTATTACCTTCGTCCTCCACTCAAAGTCAAATTTTAGCCACCATTAGGTACATTTTATTAAGCCCTACAACTTTGCTACTTATATATTTTTCGCTACAGTTGATCCTTTTTGAGATATTTGACCGTTTCCGGACTTTTTGCCAACCTTGTATATACATATATCTTTATATATTTATATAGAAGGTTTCACTCTCCTATAGGTTTTTGTATTTGTTATGTACTTATTTGCTTTTGTTTCATAAATTTGACTGGACTTACGTACTAATGTGCGTAATAATAGAGCGCATTTTATACATCTGGATAAGTTATTGTTCACGATTAAGGAACATAATGTATGACGCCACTTAGTTCCATCCTTATACGCGACTTTCGTTATATTTATATCTTCATAAATTTTTTCGTCGTGTATACCTATTTTGGATAAAAAAGCAATTATTCTGATGGAAATAAGATTAAATAGATAATGTTTATTATTATCTTACCTTGACATACGACACGTTGATCAAATTCATCAACGAGTTCTTCTATATCTAATAGACTTTTAATTTTGATATGCTTGTCCTTTACGAGATTATGCACAAATGGATCGATTTCTCTGTTAGCTACAGCACAGTGTAATAACATATCACTCCTGATAAACACCTGTTTTTCCATGAAAGGAAGCCCATTTTTTGTAATTCCCATACAAAGATATACCACTGTGGTGTTGTGACCTTTTGATGTCACTAGACACGACCAACCACGTGGTATAGATACTTCTGTACATACTTCAAGAAAGTCTTCAAATAATATCTCATTTTTGCTGATGTCATATACTATTTTACTCTGTGTACTTAGATTATCATAATTTAAAGCCGCTAATACTTGATTGTTCATGTACGAATCATCTGTTATTTTTAAATTACTATTAACAGATTTCTCAGAGTCTGCGGAAGTAACATTGCGTTTCCAGATCTCTAATGGCATTCTATCTTCCTTAAGGAAATCATATTTTTTAATACTTTCTGCTGTTTCACTAAATATATCTGCATGAGACTGTTTATTCAATAGTTGACTTTCCTCTCTATTTGTGTCCATAGGTTCAGTGTTTGGTTCTACAAAAACGTTTAAACTATAGTTATCACCATATTCAAGCATTTTATTGGATTCACTTCTTCTTCTTTTAGATTTTGATTCCATTGGTTCCAAGGTTTGTATGGAGATATTTATGTCTACCTTGTCCATGTCTTCTGATAATTGAATATTATTGCATTCAAAATTTTCATTGACATTATGTGTACAATCTTGCAGCTTGGGGTATATTCGATAACATACATTAGTATTTCTATTAATGTATTCATTCAGATTCTTTTTCCTTTTGGATATTAGGAAAGTTTTTTCATCCTTTAATGAATCTACATCTTCCTTTCTTCTGAATATCAAGAAATCATTCATATCCATTTCGCTTTTATTTAAAGCATCTTTGTCTATTGATTGTGAACTGTTACCTGAGTAATATTTACCTGGTACAGCTCCAGGACGCAATCGGCATTTTTTATATTTTATCTGTATCATATGAGTGGTACAAGCTTTAATAATATTAACAGACATATATGAATTCATTATTATATAATTGCTTGCATATATACATAAATATACAACATATATAAAAAAAGAGAAATTCAAATATATATATATATATATATATATATATATATATATATATATATAT